CAAGAACAAAAAAAAAAAAAAAAACCAAGATTGGACAACCTTCCCTCTACTTTAAAGCCATAGTTGTTATGCCACATGGTCAATTCAGAGATATCAGCTTGTCTGACTACAAAGGAAATAAGTTGTGTTCTCCTTTTAACCGTTTGACTTCACCTTTGTGTGCCCCCCAAAGATAATTGCTTTTAGTGATAGGGCAGAAGAATTTAAGAAACTTATCTGCCAAGTGATTGGTGCTTCTGAGGATTCTTCTGTCCTTTGGCATGGATCTACACACCCACCAAACAAGGAGGACTGGGCCTATGAACATCCCCTTGGTGTCACATCCCAAGTTCACCATTGCTCAGGGTTATGGGTCTTAAAGCTGATGATAGCATCTCATTCAGGGGTCTCTTTATCATTGATGATAAGGGTGTCTTCTGGAAGATCACAGAAAATGATCTTCCTGTTGGCTGATCTATGGATGAGAGTGAGACTCAGACTCATTCAGGCCTCAGTTCACATGCGCATGGCTGGGTAGGAGTCTAGCAGTGATGCTATCGCCCCTGATGTCCAGAAGAGCAAAGAATATTTCTCCAAGCAGAAGTAAACATGGCCATGAGAACAAAAGCTATATATATTTTCATACTTCAAACACAAGATGCGGTGTGGGGTGATACATGCCTTTCCTACCGGAGTTAAGGAAAGCTTTTCTTCCACTAGTAGTAATGGCCTGAGCTGCGTTGTGGGGTGAACTATCTGCTAATGTATGATGTACCAGTAGCAGGGCGTCAGCCCACTCATTGCTCTTTTGTACTGATCTTTTGAACCGAAAATAGATATATGAAATAAAATAGAAGCATTCGTGGGACTGCAGAGTCAGTGGTAGAGCGTTTCCCTAGTGTGGAAATTCCTGAGTTGGATCCCCAGCACAGGGAAGAGAAAGTGACATAAGTGGAGGAGAGTTCCTAGATTACACAACTTCAATAAGAGTTTTATTGCCTAGATGATTTTGGAAAGTTTCCTAACCATATAGAATCAAAGCTAGGAATCATTGACATAGAAGCAATTCATTTTATTTGGCGATTTTCTGAAAAACAGTAACACTCCCTGCCTTCTTCTGTTGCTGGAGAACAAACACCCAGCGCGCCTCGTGCTTGCTGTATTCCTAAGTCCTAAGCAAGTAATATTAATTTCCACAAAACCCATATTGAATTTATTGTCTCTTTTTCAAATGCAGATACAGTAGTACATATCTGAAAAAATGGGAACAAGACTGGCCTGCCTTAAAGCCTCTGAATCTTACCCTTATGCTGAATGATACTTGTTCATCTCCATGGTGAGGAATTACTTAGCTAAGTGTTTTTGTTGTTTTGTTTTGTTTTTGAGACAGGGTCTTGCTATGTAGTTCAGGATGGTCTTGAACTCACTACCCCAGGATGGCCTTAAACTTGCAGTGACTCTCCTGCCTCAGCCTCCTGAGTGTTGGAATTACAGGAGCATGCCACCACGCCTGGCTCATAGGTAAGTGTTTATTATCAAATATTCAGGTCTATAGTGGACCATGGTGCGGCATAGCATCCATAACCCTTCTCAGCCTCACACCTTTTCAGTTTCAGCTGAGAGGCAAAATCCCTTTGATATGGAAAAAAATATAACTCCCAACCTGATAGATGTCAGATGTGCCAAGTTTGTGGTCTCACAACATCAAGAAATAAAGTTGTAAACTAAAGGGAAGAGTTAGGAGGGTATTATTGGAATTAAAGAGAAGAACAGCTCCTGGATTTCTAGGAGGGGTCCCATACGGGTGGCCACTGAGGTTCTTTGTGGAGTATTTTATACAGTAAAATCACAATATAGGTAGGTACAGCATGGGTCAAACTACAATCAACCTATAGGATTACAGGTATAGCCACTTAGCTAATATTGATCCAGTAGGGAAGTGAGTCACGTAGCAAGGGTGTATGGAAAGAACAAAGACATTTTTAGGAAGGGAGGGCAGTGTGAGTCCAGACGTTCTGGTCACCCACCTGTATGACTCATGCCTATCTGGACCCACTGGAATAGGTGGTGCTAATTACAATGCAATCCAAGCTGATTTTATCATGAAGGCCTGACTATTACTGTGACTCCATCCGGAGGCCAGGCTCTCTTTTTACCTCCAGCCACAATTCTGATGTCTTTATTTTTTTTGTGCTGACTTCAAGCATCCTATCCCTCTCTGAATGCATATTAATTTCTATCAAATTTAGCTATTTCCTATACTTCTGATGCTCACCTCCTATTTATAGAACCAGGACAGTAATGCTACATCTAAGGAGCTGTAATGATGAAATATTTCCCTCAGCAAATATTAGTCTGACTCTGCAGCAGTAAACAAGGTCCTTTTTTTCTTTCTTTCTTTCTTTCTTTTTTTTTTTTTTTTGTACCGGGGATTGAACTTGGGCCCTTGCAAGGCAGCTGGCAGAACCACTGAGCCAAATCCCCAGCCCCCACAACAAGATCCTTTCTTTAGTCTACATTGCAACATGCAGATATAAATATATTGATGGCAAAAATACTGGTGCTAAGCGATAACAAAACTACACCAAGTGAACAGAGTGAAGGGGAGAGGGTCTGAAGTGTTATAAAGAATCCACTTGTCAAAACAGACTTTTGAAAGGAAAGTTTATTCCAGTTAACAGGGACTAAAATCAAGAGATTCTAGCAGCTAGCTAGCCAAGAGAGAGGTATTAACAATTACCTGGGAAAGGAATTAAGCTGGGTATTGAAGTGGCTAAGCAATCTGGGGTGAAATATTCATGACTTGAATGCCCAAGGATGATCTGCTCGGGTGTGTTAGACAAATCATTGGACTTCTCGGTGCTGGGGGGTGGGGGGTGTTGTATAGTTCATTTTGAGTCCCTTTGAACTATTTACTGAGAAGCAGCTGTTATTTGCTAAAAGCAGCTCGTTTGCTTTGTCCCGTTTGCTCCTGAAGGTCTGACAAGAAGGTTTTGAATTAAAGTGTGAGAACGCACAGACCTGGGGGGGAGGGAGCAAACCAGGTAGGTGTGGCCATCAGAGGGCAGAGAGGTCTGGGTCCTAGTGCTTGCAAAGCTCCTGAGCAGGGTGTCCTGGCTGGAGCTGGAGGCCGAAGCTGGTGTCTGAGATGAGGGGGGCTGAGGCCAAGTCCTAGTCCCTAGGCCCTCTCTTTCAGGCATTTTCTGTTTTATTTTCAGTGAGGTGGGGACTACTGAGGTGTTTTTAGTAAACAACTGACAGATTTAGACATAGTTTTTTAAAAATCCTATGTCATAGCAGAGTTATTAGACAGAAGCGAGGCAAGAGTAAAGGCAAGAAACCCCCTATGTTGAGAGACCCAACTAAGTTAAAGTGATTCCATGTTGGCTGGCTAATAGCCCCAGAGAATGTTATGTACCTCCTGTAGGATATCTGATGACTCTCCCTTTGCAGCTGGGACGGCCCTGACCTTTGTTTGTAACCTTTACTGCATAACTTTGTAATTTTAAGTGAGTTCCTAGTCTCAACTGTGGTTAATGTAAATTAACAGGTGAACGTTTAGTAGTTCTGGGTAAATAGATAAAGATTGTTTCACTCCTTGTCTGCCCAGAAGGAATGTTTTGAAAACCTTGGGACATTCTGTAAGCATCTTGAGTATAGACCCCCACCCTGCCTATCCCCTTATAAAAAGGACCTCAGCCCCTGAGCTGGCGCCTCTCTGAGCTACTTGGCTCCAGGAGTGCTTTCTGGCCAGACTAGTAAAGGTCTGTTCCCTTTCCAACTTGTCTGGTGTGTTCCTTCCCGGGTGAATCTTGCGGCTGTCGAGCTCTTCGGAGCGGTAAAGTTAAGCTCTTCGGAGCGGTAGAATGAGCTACTTGGAGTGGTAGTAAGGCCCTTGGTCTTACATTTTTGAAGCCCTCCGTGGCTTTTTGAGCTCTTGGAGTGGTAGTAAGGCCTTAGGTCTTACAGTGTTATTAAAATAATGCAGGTGAAGCCATGCATGGAAGTGCAAGCCTGTAATCCCAACAGTGTGGGACTCTGAGGCAGGGAGATCACAAATTCTGGCCCA